TGATGAACCAGACTCAAGTTTTGAGTTTTTGAATGCATTGGATGAAGGGGAGAATGATCCTATCAAGATATTCCAACAAGCGGATACAGAAGATAACATCTTCAGATTTGTTATATTTGTGGTTTTGGTTACATAGAAATCATCCGGAATTTGCTTATCATTATTACAGAGAAATAACCTTGAAATACCCCGAACGTTGTTTATCCCTCTTTAAATTGGTTGAGATATTAGTGAGGTCTACGTCATGCCGAACAAAAAGAAAGTCAAAGCCAAAGTTAAAGAGACTAGTTTACTGAAAGCGTATGGAGATCCTGAAGTGCCTGGCAGTTTGGGTGGAGTACAAAGATTTGCCAAAGCCAATAAGTTGTCGATTGGAAAAGCCAGAGCTCTCTTGGAAAAGGATTTAGGGTACACGTTACACAAACCTAGACGCCGAGGCGGGTTTCCTACACTACCGGTGCTAGTGTTTAACATCGACGAACAATGGTGTTGTGACTTGATCGAAGTTCAATCCATAGCTAAATACAACAAGGGAAATAGATATTTACTCGTGGCCGTGGATGTTTTATCCAAGTATGCCTGGGTAGAACCCGTCAAATCCAAGACCGGTGTAGCTGTCACGGAAGCTTTTGAGAAGATATTGAAACGAGCTGACGGACGAAAACCTCAGAAATTACAAACGGATGACGGTAAAGAGTTTTACAACAAAACCTTTCAGACCTTGATGAAAGATTTGGGAATTGTACATTTCTCTACCAAAGGAGATACCAAAGCCAGTGTAGTGGAACGATTCAATCGTACATTCAAAGAGAGAATGTATCGGTATTTCACGAGAGCCAACACCTTGAGTTACTTACCCGTATCACAATCATTGGCGAAAGGATACAATGCTTCATATCATCGAAGTATTGGAATGGCACCCATTCGAGTCAACGAGAGGAACGAACGAGATGTGTGGAATACCCTCTACAAGAAAAAATTGAACAAGAAACCTCGTAAACCCAAATTCAAGGTAGATGATCGTGTGAGACTCAATAAGAAATTCAGACAATTCAAGAAAGGCTACTTACCGGGTTGGACGGAAGAAGTGTTTATAGTATCAGAGTTATGCCAGGAGCAGTTACTACTTATAAAATCAAAGAGATGGATGATACACCTTTGGAAGGTACTTTTTACATGCAAGATTTACAAAAAGTCACCGTATCGGACGACGATTTGTATCGAGTGGAAAAAGTATTGAAACGTACAGGGAATAAATTGCTGGTACATTGGAAAGGTTGGCCAGATAAATACGACAGTTGGATTGACAAGAAGGACGTAAAAAAGAAATGATGGCCAAAGAGGATTCTATGTGCAAGTGTTGAGTAGTAGCAACAAATCGGAATATCCGAATAACAGACCGAATTATTTCAAAAATAGACTACCCTACCCGTTTCGGTTCCCAGAAAGAGGATGGAAAGTGGGATTGAGTAGCATTTCCATTCCCGATGCCAAAGTGAACATTTATAATTTGGTGAAACAGGAAGAATTTATTTTCTTTATGCGTTGGATCATACATGTTCCCACGCAATATGGAGGTATAAATCGTCGAGAAGGTACTGCTACATGTGCACCTGGCGATATCCATAGACTTTACTCTATTGTCGATGGTGTCAGTTTGATGAAAGCGATGATCAACTTTTTCGAACAACGACGTATCTTGAATTACGATGGTCCGATTTTTGGTAGCAAATTCGTCACAGATAGTGGAAAACGCTTGTATGTGAAGTTTCGATGGGAAGGAGAGGATATGATAATGGATAATACTGAAGTGTATACTGCTTTAGTGAAATCTCCCTTATTTTCCATTCATCAAACATTGGCCATCAAGATGGGATGGTTGAGGAAGAGCAACGATGGAACATTCGCTCTGGGTCCCAATCTACGACAAGAATTTGTGAATGATGTGATACCCGATTTAAAGAATACAGTTCACGATCTCCAGGACGACAACGGAAATCCCGTGTTTTGGAACGTCCAAAATGACCATTTCGTTTCGAGTACAAACATGTAATTGGCGCTTCATGAACCTCAACAATGCATTTCAGAACGTGGTGGGAAGAAAAGTCACGTAGCCTATTCGTCTATTCTGACGTGGGTGGAAGTAATGTGGGAAATCAAGTGACGGATTTGTTGCGTGAGATCAATTTTCATCGCGAAGGAAAAGGTATAAAATACTTTGAACCATTACACATTCAATATATTCCAGTACGCAAAGAAGTTGTAGACATTATCGAAACGCAAGTGGCCGAGACAACAGGAGAACTCTCTAACTTTGGTGAAGGAAATACCATTCTTACCCTTCATTTCAAGAGAACATGAAAGGAGGAAGTTTAACGAGATTTCGACCCGATTCCAAGCAAGAGGGACAAGGCCTGAAAGACATTTTGATGGATGTCTTGGAAAATACAACAGCGGGAGGATGGGAAGGCTTAAAAAGGAGTTACAATCCACTCAAGGCTCCAGTCAACGTAGCCAGTGGTGTGAAGAAAGGTTTCAAACGAGGATTGAAACGAGGATTGGAGAAAGAAATACAGAGACAAGCAAGTAAACGATTGAAAGACATATTTGGAGAATGAATCGTTTCACGCCCATTTACTCTCGTGCCCTCAAACTGGTCAGATCAAAACGACGAGGTGTGGGTAGACAGCAAGGAGAAGGATTAAATTTATTACCGTTGGCAAACAGATTGAAAAAGAGACGTTCGAAAAAACTACAAAAAGGAGGTTGGATTAGTTCAGAAGTGTCAAAACCACCTGGCTACGATCTGAGAAGGGTATTGTCTAAGAAACGTAGCAAAAGAAGACGACGATAGAATCATGGCCAGGACGCATTGTACCAGCCCACAGCAATTCGGGACCTATGATGAATTCACTGCTGGATTTATTCCACGTTCCACCTACAGACGTTAGTATGTCATCGTATCGAATGGTACCCATTCAAACGTACACTACAGGTATCAATCCTATCGAATTTCAAATCGATGCTCAAGAGGACTACATTGATTTGAGTCGAAGTTACTTCGAAATTGAATTGGGATTGAAAAAAAGCCAACGGAGATAATCTGGCAGTTGCCGAAAATTTGTGGCCCGTTAACAACTTGGCTCACAGTCTATTCAAACAAATCAATGTGAGACTCAATGGTACGCTGATGAATGACAACCTGGATCATTATCACTACAAAGCTTACCTGGAGACCTTACTGAATTACAACAGAGAAGACGGCAAAACCGTGTTGGCTCCACAAGGCTGGTTCAATCAGATCGATGTCAAAGAAGAGTACACGGGTAACAACACGAACTTGCAAGCCGAGGATGGAGCTGGACACGCGGAATACCAAGCTCTCAGTCAGAATCACAAAGATGCCTTGGCAGCTCAAGTAGCCGAATTGACCCATTACGCAGGAGGAAAAAGGAGAATGTTGAGGTTCAAACCCCTTACTGGAAGCATTTCAGCTCAGTAAAGTGTTGGTACCTGGCGTACAGATAAACATTCAATTTTACATGAATCAACCTTCTATCTTCACGGACGGTGTGGGTCAGGCTGCTAGAATGGTTACAGAAGATATCAAAGTGCGATTGTACTTGTGTCAATTGAGACTAAACGAAACCGTCTACAGAGGATTAACCACCCAAATGGCCACCAAACGCAAAATGGCCACTTACCCTGTGGTGAGGAGCGAGGTTCGTTCGTTTCCCTTACAAGCTGGACTGCAACGGAAGGAAATCAGCAATCCTTTTCAGAGCAGAGTTCCTAACCGAATGATTGTAGGGATGGTGGATTCCAGAGCCTTCAATGGTGATTATACCAGAGATCCCTTCTGTTTCCAGAAATTTGGCTTGATCAGCATTAGACAGTTGGTACAAGGTGAAGAGTACCCTTACGAGACATTACAACTGAATATGAATAATGCCGACAGAGATCTTACTGGTTATCATCGTTTCCTGCAAGCCAGTGGTGCTCTGTGTAAACATGAAGGAAATATGGTGAGATCTAAAGATTGGGGGGAAGGCAAAAACTGTACTTTGTTCATGTTTGACAATGTGGCAAGTGGATGTGTGGATACTAGTTACTTAAATCCCAAACAAGCTGGAGAGATACAAATAGAGTTGTTGCTAGGAGAAGCACTCGGATTTAACGTGAACGTCGTAGTGTACGCAGAGTTCGAGAACCTACTTGAGATCGACGCCAACAAAGCCGTGATTTACGACACTCGAAGAGATTAAAGATGGAAAAGATCACACTGAATAACAGACAGTTGGATTTCTTAGCCAGCCATGATCCAGTCCTTAGAACTAGTCTTCTTTGGCACCGTACCTTGCGACAAGCTACCCAATCATCCAGACAAGTCAAAACCTACAGGATACATTGTGAATACTGACCCTCACTACTTACCCGGAAAGCATTGGATTGCATTGTGGACATATGGAAAGACCTGCGAAGTCATGGACAGTTACGCCTTACCTTTGAGTACTTATGGTACTACAGATCCGCTTGTAGATTGGTTAAACAAACATTGGAAATACGTGATTCGTAATAAACAAAGTCTACAATCTTTGTACAGCCAGAGTTGTGGCGATTATGCCTTGATGTATTTAAGAGCTAGAGCTCGAGAACAATCTATGTACGATTTCTTGCGTCAATTTTCTAAACACGATTATGTGTATAACGATCATAAAGTGGGATTAATGTTAAAAAAGTTAATAGAAAAACAGATTGCCTCTGAAGAATGGTATCATGTATGTAAGAAGAATTATCATCAAGATTCCCACGCTTGTAAACAAGGACTTCGTCATCTTGTGTAAAAATTAAGTAGAGTTGATGTGAACAATAAAAGTTGAGTTGTTAAAAGATTAAATTTGGTGTCGTCTTGACTGGGTGGGCCGGTGGCTCAACGGGTAGAGCGTTGGACTTGCAATCCAAAGGTTAGGGGTTCGATTCCCCTCGGGTCCACAGTCTTTGCCTTGATGGTCTAGTGGTTAGGACATTGTGTTGTGGCCACAATAACCCGGGTTTCGAATCCCGGTCAGGGCATATTTTTTTTTTTCTCTTTTTCAAGTCCATAAAAAGTGATACCCGTTTCATGAACCCTTCATTCTGTCACAATGGCAATGGGAAAAACATTCCAATTCAAGGACACCCTCCAATATTTTGGTGGTAGGACCGTCAGGATGTGGAAAGACTTGTTTTACGCGAGTATTACTCTTGGAGCATTTGAACGAGTTATTCGTGAATCCTCCTACGAAAGTCCATTATTGTTACGGAGCGTGGCAAGATAAATTTACCGATATGCAAAAAGCAGGTGTGAAATTTCACGAAGGTGTACCCGCGTCGAGTCAATTGAAATCATGGTTTCCGCAAGGAGGTTTATTGATACTGGATGACTTGATGGCTGAAGGAGGGAACGATAAAGAGGTGTTGGATTTATTCACTAAACATTCTCATCATCAAAACATCACTGTGATGTATTTATGCCAAGATATGTTTCCACCGGGGAAATTTGCCAAGAGTATTTCAAGAAATGCTCATTACATCATAGCCTTCAAGAATCCACGAGATCAACTGGGTCTGAGGAATTTACTACTTCAAGCCTTTCCTTCGAATTGGCAAGATATTATGGACGTGTATCGTAAAGTGACAGAGCGGTCCTTTGGATACTTGACATTGGATTTACATCCTGCCAGTGACGATTCTACCCGAGTCTTGAGTCACCTCTTAACAAATGAGGGGTGCATGCGATGTTACAGAATGACATAGTCACTCATACCACTACTTATAAAGATGGTGGTAGACCCACAGTCAATTATACTTCGAGCAGTGTGCGAAACTGAGCGCAATGGGAAGAAGGAAAAGGCAGAAATGAAAAAACAGAAAAGTAGAAGAAAACTACGCAAACAAACTCAAAGTGGAGGAAAAATCCCTTGGGTGGTAGATTTCAAAAAAGGATTCAAAGTAACCAAAGATATGATTAAAGCTGTCAACACTCCGATAGATGTGGACAAAGCAAAACGTACTGTCGAAGGTTACAAGCAACAATATCGAGCGTATAAAAGACGAGGTGGAACCAAGAGTTATCACAGTTGGATACTTGACAAAGGGTACGGAACACGAGACGGAACGAAAAAACTGTTGTTTGATGTAGAAATGCCCAAGAGGAGGGTAAAGAGACAAATTGTACGGCGCAAACGAATAAAGAAAAGAAGACAGAGAGGCGGTGCCGTGTTCAGACGTAAACCTACTCTCACGGACAAGATTGCCGAAGGAATGAGTATGTTTCTATCTGGTCCTTCGCCTACCTTTGCTACCTTGGGTGGAAAACTAGCCTCTCAAGTATTCAAAGGTATAAAAGATAATGTGGATTATAATCGTCGCAGACCTAGAAGGAGTGGCTTTCCGTTCAGACGATGAAACGAATACAGAGACATCGGGCGTTCTTGACATCTATCTTGAGAGAGGGAAATCGAAACATTCGAGAGGATATGCTGCAACATGCCAACAGTGATCAGATCAATGCCGTGAGTGAATTTGTGTTAAATTTACTCAAGAATCGAGTACCGTTGTCACCTCCAACCACGGCTAAACTCAAACGTCACTAACAGGTTTTACGAGAATTGGCTAAGCGAAGAAATTCCATAAAACGACGCAAACAACATTTGTTGAATCAGAAGGGTGCTGGATTCTGGCGAGGATTGAACGAAGCGTTCTGCAATTGTCTACACAAGTAACCATGTCATCACCACCTCCTATAAACATTATTGTATCATTACTATGCAAAGCTAACCAGAAAATAGACGAATTGAATGACAGGTGCGCTGGTCTGGAGAAAAAGTGCGATTACTGGAAAGGCGAGTACGAGAAATACAGTCGCATCGGGAATGTAGCGATGAAATATATTCTTTGTCAAGACTGTTTAGATCAGAATACTCACGAGGGACAAACGGTGGAAATTTGTGAAACCTGTACGGACAAACTAAAAACTCTACATAATGCTAAAGCAGAAGTAGAGTATTGGAAAAATCAAATGCAAGAAGAGAGCGAGAGAGCTGATCATTGGCACAAGTGTTACAACGACAAACGAACAAAATACTTGACATTAGTGGAAAAGATTCAGTGTGAGGGGTGTAAGCTGAACAAGTACGACTACGATAAATACTGCAGCGAATGCATCAAGAGTCGGGAGAAAAGTAAAAAGGAAATCGAGTACTGGCAAAAGGGTTACGAGGAACTGTTGGACTCCCCGAGACGAAGTCGATCATGGCTCAAGAAGTGATGATGGTAAAACCGGAGGAATTTAATCGATTAGTACAATACTACAAGGGTGAAATATCAGACAGTGCTTTATTGAACAAAGCTGGTCGAGTAGCTGCAGAGACTCATTTGTTGTTACAAGATAAAACTATCCCAGATGCTATTGTCAATGCTAGGGTAAAGAAGTTAAGGAGAGAACGGCAAAGACTCACTAAACGCTTGAGGGAAGTTCCGGGTGTGACTTCATTAGCTGGCGGCCAACCTCCACCCGATGTCGAAGAGGATGGTATATTGGCGAACGGTACTTTGGACAACTTGTTAAAACAAATCGTTAAGAATACAGTGAAAAGACCCGGTCAAGCGGTCGCTACGCCTTCCAAGTCTATAAAATTCGAGACAGCTACACCTTCCACATCCATAAAACTCGAGAAAGTTACACCTGGTCCTTCTGGTATAAAAAAACGAAAAAGCGACAGGATTCCATGCTGTACTAGAAGAACTAAAAGAGTCGGGAGCTAAACCCAAGAAAAAGAAGACACCTACCCAAACACCAATCATTTCGAGAGAAAAAACACCGCGAGAAGAACTATTGGAAAGTGTTCGGAAGAGTGCTGAGAGGCTAGCAAAAGCAAGGGAAGACATCGAACGCATACGCGAGAAACGAAAAGAAACCAAACACAAGACAGAAGCAGAACGACTCAAACCTTTACCCGGTTGGGAGGATTGGGCAGCAGGTAGAAAACAGAGAAGGCGATTGGAATATGACGAGGACGAGGACTAGAAAACGTCAACCCCTGAAACGAAAAAGGAGACAACGCGGTACCGGAATCGATATTCAAAAACTTATAGACAAGACTGGTATAGAATTTCATTGGCCTGGTTACCAATATATGGGACCCGGAACACATCTCAAGAAAAGACTGGCTAGAGGCGATCCTGGCATTAACAGACTGGACAAGATTGCTAAACAACACGATATCGATTATTCGCGTACTAAGAATTTGAGAGATAAATGGAAAGCCGACGAGAAAATGATTAAAGCTATTACGAACTTGCCAGGCAAACATACCATGACTGAAAATATTGTAAAGAAAATAATGCAAGCTAAGAAAAAGTTAAAAATGTAAAAATGTCTCCATGCCTTTGCTGGAGTTCATGTTATTGTTCAATAAACGTTAATGTTATAAAGTAAACATCAGACTCAGTGTTTTATTTTAAACAATTATATTTAATATACATAATGTTACTGTGGGATACCGTATCCCTTGTCTCTAACTTTTGTGAATATTAATTGTTACTGTGGGATACCACATCCCTAGTAACCATTCATGAATAAATTTGTTACTGTAGGGATACCCCACATCCCCCCGACTTTTCATTGGCTCATAACCACGTGACTCCCAAAGGTATATAACCAAGAACGCCATTGTCAAGCCCTATCACATTGTGCGCGATGCCAAACAGTATGCCATTCATACCGTGTCTCAGACCAAGAAATACCAATTGGTCTACAACAAACGTGTCATCGATCCCGTGACATTTCAAACTTACCCGTATGGCTACCTTCGCTTTACCGCTGAAGACGAAGACATGGCCGAGCTCCTAATGGAGATATAAACAACACACACTGTCGAGCGACTTCATTTTCAACATGAACACTCAAACCGCAACAATGTCTCGCGATATGGCGAAACTGGATGAGCTTCGCGAGTTAAAAAAGTTCGACCTGGAGAAAGCTGTCCGCATCATTGAAACGTTGGCGAACGAGCGACTCAGGGACTTCAACAGTGCCAGGGTGAACGGTGAGCCATGGAACGAGAAAGACATTCTACCCACCGATTCTCTCTTAAAACTTGAAGGCGATTGGGACTATGGTTGGTTGATGCAATTGACTGCGCAACTCAGAGGGTCTCATCTTCTGGCTTTCTTTGCTCGCCTTGCCACCATCGACACCGCTGTGCAAGAATTGGTGATGTCGGCCCTTGACATTTCTTACCCAGAATTATACCGTCGCATGTTCTACTGGGATCACACCTTCGTGGCAGATGCAGCTTCCTGCAGTTATCAACGCTACAGAACCTCCATACACTCAGAGACAGCCACAGATTATATCAATCGTTTTTGTACTACTGTGTAAGTCGGGCGCGGGTGCCTCTAAGGCCCCGCACACGTCCCGCGTTGTAAATAGGTCTTTTTTCATTATTAAATTCATTGTTAACATTCTTTGGACTATGTCTTTTACTTCCGGCTTTTAGTATGACGTCACTTCCTGTTTTTTTATCATTGACCTGCGCAGTCGCTACTTTTTTTAATTTATACACCTGCGCAGTCGCTACTTTTTTTAATTTATACACCTGCGCAGTCGCTACTTTTTTTAATTTATTCACCTGCGCAGTAGCTACTTGACAGATCAGTGCTAGTCTAGCTTATAAGACTACTACCGTGCACTGGGAAACCAGCACACATGGGGTCGGACAAAAGAACTGTACCGAGGACTAGCAGAAAGCAGTTTTGGCTTTAAGAATAAAACAAAAATGGCTCAAAAATAAACATAGCGAATGGGCAAAGAAAAAACCACAGGAGAGGAGGAATGACAGCTTGACCCAGATCAACCGGGAGGAGAGTTAGAGAGTAGAGGAGAGTACCCCTGTTTCTAGCTACATTCAACCTAAACTGGTACCCAAAATATGCTGGAAAAGAAGAAAACTAAAACAAAATGAGACAAAATAAACTTTAATAAATGATAAAAGCCTCATAGTTCCATAACAACAGACTGTCACAAAATA